TGATGAGGGGTCTGAAATAATTCTCATCTAGGACAAGGGTTGACCTGACCAGAAGGACCGGTTGATACTCTTTTATGAAAACTGGGGTCGGGTGCTGAAACAAGATGGCGCAATGGTTGCCTTCCCCAATCTATACCAGCGACCCGGAAATGCCAGTAGATGTAAAGGATGGGGTATCGGTCGTCCTCCTGGAATATGGAGCGTGGACGGACCTTGAACCAGCGTATCAAACAGCAATGCTGGAAAGGGAGGATGTTTTTCTTTGGATAGAGACAGTATGGACTAATGTCAGCTTGACGAGGTTGTCGCCAAGTTTAATGGATTTGGAATTCCGAGGGACGGTGGAAACCCGGGGGTGGGTCTACTTGTCGCAAGGTGGGGAAAATGCTAAGGTGTCAGCGGAGGGAAATGGAAATGAAAAGGGTAGATGTGCGGGTGGAACTTGCGAATAGAGGGAGCATGAGGCGACCCGTCAGAACCATGCGATGTGTGCTGCCTCCCTTCCTAGTGGACGCAGTTTTCGAAACCCAAAGCAGGTTAGTACAGATATGTCGGTCCATGACGAATCTCGGACTATACCAGTGCGCTAGGCAAGACTTCTTCCGGTTGTCGGTAGAAATGGGGCCTTTTGAGGGGAACTGGGCGAACGAGTTGGCCGAGATACTAAACTGCCTTAGCGTGGACGATGTCTTTGTCTCTAGCTCCAAGCATTGGGGGATAGTCTATAGAAATGTGGCAATAGGGGAAACATTTCTGGAAGGGGTGAAAGAGTTGTTCTATAACGAAGAGGACGACTTCAGTGATGAAGACGAAGATGATGAGATAGAGGACTGGGACTTCTAAGGAGGGTGACTTAACTTAGGGAAAACGGGTGGCCTGGCATTGTGCAGGAAGGGGAAAAGATGACTAGAGAGGAAAGGATGATGGAATACACCTTCAAGGGATGGGAACCAAGACGACTCAGAGGAGGGATAAAAATGCCTATACCAACGGAAAATGAGTGGAGGGGGACCACGTGCGACTGAGTTGGGTTTGAGGTTGTCCGAGAATTATCATATGTATGGATAGAACGGATTTGGAACCCAATAAGGGAAGAGGAAGGTTGGGACGAGATAGCAGAGGGCAAAGTGGAGTCGGTCGGAACGATTGTCCTTTCCGAAGATGGGTGACACCTATTTTGCACTACTTTAGTAATGGGACAGGATCCAATGTGGCTTCTAGGGGATGCAGAGGCACGAACCCGAAAGGAAGGCAAAAGGTTCGCCAACGAGGGGTGGGACGAAGTTAGTAGCAGAGTTGTGATGGGAGGATGGAGGGAACTCAAGCCTCCCTGCCTGCGCACAACAGCGTGGGTTCCCGAGTTCGTGGCCGACTGGTTCGGGGGATTCGAGCACATAGCAGACGTGGCCGACTCCATGAGGGAAGTGCACATAGAATGTGTCTGGTTGACCGAGGAATTATATAGGATGTCCATAAAATATGGGCCCTTCTACGGCGATAAAGCCAGTGAAGTCATCACCGTCCTGAGGATAGGTCAGTACGATCGTCTAGAGGTAGACGCGGAGGCTTGGGACGCCATAGTTAGCCGGGAGGAGGCGGCCGCGCCATCCTATGTGGACGATGCCTTTACGTTGTTTGAGGTACTGTGGTTCGATTAGAGGGACCCAAAAACCGAAACACCGCGGGAAGGTCGGAGTATGGAGGGTGCAGGTGAATCGGGATGTAGTGTAAGAAAAGCGGGCGTGTACATTAGTTAGCAGGGGATGCGAGGGGGCCGAAACAAGGAAGGTAGCAACACCAAAGGGGGAAGAAGATTTGTACGTATATGGGGCAGGGATAGCAGCAACGATCGGTGTACGATAAGTAGGAAGTACTGAAAGACTAAAGCACGAAATGACGCGGAATCTCGGTGGGTGCAGCAATCGGACTGAGGGAGCAGGAGACATTGCAAGATGGCCCCGCGAATGACATTTTGGGAGGATAGGCCTCGCGGGATCCTACCACCAAGAGCATCAGGGGGAAGGGTCGAAATAAGCCTGCCAGCAAGAAACGTGGTAAGTAACTCGGTAATGGACTGGGTGGGGGCAGAATTGGTGGAAGACACGGTGTACCTAGTAGTAGAGCTGGAATGGCGTGCGAGAGGAGAGTTCGGGGGCATAAATTTGGAACTCCCAGGGCGCGTGCATGAGACGGGATCCCTACACCTGTCGGAAGAAGGATGGCGAACTTTTGGGATTGCCTTGGCGTCCGGGGACGACCCCGTGCGAATGTTCGAAGGAGCATGGCAAATAACCTGGCGGGAGGGGTTTGAGTTCGCGGATTCGGAACGAGATGACGTGACGGCTGAGGTAAAAGTCGCCGCAGCAGGGGTCTTTGAGTTGCCAAATGAGGTCGTACGAATGAGTCTGCCACCCTTTCTAATAAGACGACTGGGAGGCGTAGAGCGAGTGGAGCAGGCAGTAGCTGCCATAACTAGGGTAGATTTTGACGAAGCATTAATGTATCAGGAATACTACCGGGCCTTCCTAGAGATGGGGCCTTTTGAAGACGAATAGGGGCACGAGGTGCTTTGTATACTACGAGCGGCAATAAGCACTAGGCCAGGAGTTCCGCAAATAAGTGATGAGGCTATGTGGAGAGTCATCCAACAGGAAGTAGGTCGGGGCGCGACCTACATAGATGACCTTTACCGACTGTACGAACAACCGGAGGGGGTTGCTGCTCCTGGGGATATGGAGGGATAGTTGGGATCAGAGAAGAAGAATGAAAACATGAAGGGTAAAGGGGCAGTAGGTGGACGTTTACTAAGGATTAGTTGTAACCCTCTCTATGTGGACTATTCAGGGGATCACCAAGGCAACAATGGCAGCAAGACGTGTGCGAATGGAACGCCACCCCCGTGTGTGAATGAAACGTCAGCCTCGGTACCCTGGACCGCCCTGGAATAACGGCGGGCAATGGGAAGTATCCCTCCCGTCGAATTCCAACTTTCGGGGGTTCGACGCGGAATGGTGGGCCGTGACCCTAGGAAGAGACAGCGCCTTCATGTTGGTGGAATATCGGTGGATGAGGATGAGGCTCAACCGAGGGCCTGGGGACGATTTGTTCACCAATTTAGAGGTAACCGGGGTCCTATACCTACCAGAGGTTGGCTGGCACTTATTGGGGATAGGGATAGCGCAAGGCCACGAGTTGGCTCTAGTTTTTCGGAGGGCGGCCCGGGCATTTACACAGATAGGACAATCGGTCAGGGGTAGAAGAAACGTGGATTTGCTTACCAGGGTGGAAATGGGGGGTTGGAGGGAGTTCAAGGCACCAACCACACCGTTGAGGTGTCGAGTCCCCCGGTTTATGATAGACCTCATTTTCGGGAGCCTCGCAAGGGCACAAGCGCCGACAGACTCAGCGATAGTCTGGGTAGACCACTTCCCCTTTCAGACCATCTGGATGTTCTACGATGTTTCTGTGGAACATGGGCCATTCTGGGGAAACAGGGCCCATGAGTTACTGGAAGTCATCCATATTCTGATATTTGGGTTGCCGCGACTAGCCTGGGCGGATTACGAGCACATAATCCTAAGAGAGATCGAGATAGGAGAGAGCTATTTAGCAGGGGTGGCTCAACTATTCGAGGAGCCTACCGAACCAGAAGGGCCACGAGGGCGAGAACGGGACTAGCCTCCGGGGATGGGCCAATACGGCAAATTAAGTAAAAATCCGCCGATGGAAATGAGGAAGGGCTTCGGACCCGGACGATCAAAAACCGCTAAAGAATAAAAGGGGGAGGGGGTAGACTCCTAATGGTTGTCGTGACCCTGAAGGTCAAAAAGGGGAATAATGATCGGGAAATTATCCCTAGCGGGATGCTTAACCCGGACTCCTACGCACCGGCCCGACGGGGCAAGGACGCTCTAAACGAGCCTGTGATAAAGGAAACTAAGTCACGCCCTTAGCTCGGCAGGGCAGCAGGGTCAGTCGTGGATCCTTTTTAGGGAAGCAATCAGGAAACGGAAATAGGGAGAAGGTTATTTCCCGAATAAAGAAAAGCCAACGAAGTCGGAACCAAGGGAACCTAAATGCCTCGCGTTGTGTATGTCCTGGGGAATCTTTTGGTTTATGCAGAACTAGGCAGAATGGCCACGGAGGATGAGACGGATAACCATAAGGGCGAAGGAGGACCAGGCTTAGGAGGCAGTGCCGCACAAAGCGAAGAAGGGCAGAAAGACAGAGAATCGATAAATCCGGATGGTACCAAAGGGAACTGGAAGGAAATCTCCTCAGGGGAAAGCTCGGGAAAAGCAGGGGGAAGCAGGCAAGGGACTCAGGAAACCAAGGAGGGCAGGAATAAGGATAGGACAAACCCCCGGAATTCGGAGGGAGCTGTGTCTAACAAAGTAAGGGTCACGGATGCAAGGCGCAAACTCACAGAAATAGAAAAGAGGACCGCGGAGTACAAGGCAAGATTGATCGAGGAAATGATGATTGGGAACGAAGAAGGCCCTCTGCAGGAGGAACCGTGGGACGAACGAAAAACCAGCCGAGGCGGAACTAGACAAGGGGATAAAGGTAGTGACCGTGGGGGAACACCGAGCAAAAGGAGGAAAGAGAGAAAGAACTCCCCGGGGGTGGAAGCAGAGAAAGCCACGAACCCGCCAGCCATAGATAGTAGGGTTAGCCGTCTGCCGACCACACCAGCAGTAACACGAGGATGTGAAGGGCTCTAGAGCCTCAGGGAAAGAGTGTTGGGATGGTTCAACCCGGAGGGAACTGCGAAGACTAAGGGGGGACAGAAGGCCGACAAGGAAGGTCCGGATAACAGTATGGCAGGCGAGGCCAGTAGCTCCGAGGGCGGCCTTAGGAAGATAGTGTCGTCCCTCGCGTGAGCACTAAACAAAAATCAAGGCTACCTAGCGGACGCTAAGAAAAAGTTGACGTTTGACGGGGCAAACATCACGGAATTCCTGATAGATTACGAGAATCTGGCCGCACTGTTGAAATGGACCGAAGAAGAAAAAATGGACCACCTGGGGCAGCATGTGTCTTTGAGCTTGGGACGGGACATAATGGCCATCGTAGCCGCAAGCCGATCCTGGAAGGAAACCCGGGATGTGATGATGACAAAGTACCTAGCAGCGGAGAAGATGGCTACGGAGGCCCACTTAGCGGCAGTCCAGAGGAAGAACTTCTCAACGTACAATGACTTCCTACGGGAGTTTACTCTGGTAGCACTAAGGATCCCAGGAGTAACGGACCGAATAATGAGCAAATACTTCCTTAGGCAGTTCTCCGAGTTCGACAAAGACAAGATTCTATCAGCCTACCAGCAGACGAGCAAGTTCGTAAACACTAGGGATGTGGATTTTAGCACCGTAACGGACCTGGCCGAAAAGACGGTAGTGACCGAGACATTGGCCTTGCTTAAGGAAGGGGAGGTCATAGACCTGACCGGGAGAACAGGCGACAAGGTAAAGAAGGAGATCGAAAGTCTACATGAACGGGTGCACGGAGTCGACAATTGAAAGGATGGAGAGCGCGCTATTGGTTATGCAGGCGCAAGTATCCCGACCCCCCCTCCCTCCCCAGGAAGCCGTAGTTCCGCCGGGTGTAGCCAATCGGGGATTTGGACGGAGAGATCCTGCTAACGAGCAATGCAAGTACTGCACCGCGATGGGACATTATGTACGCGCATGTCCAAAACTCAACCATGATATATTAAAAAGGAGATGTACCACGTCGTTAAAGGGGGAGATATTCGGACCGCAGGGAGAACGGGTAAATTGGAACTTGCCAGGAGGAATGCGGCGAGCCGTTATCATGCTCAATGGGCTAGAGATAGCAGTCGTAGAAGCTGAGCCGGTGGTCGATATCATCTGGGAACAATTTCGGGGTCGTGGGCCGCAGGTCAACTTCATTTTAAAAAGCGACGGACGTGGTAGGGTGAACGCGACTACTCGGCTAGGGACGGTTGGGAGAAGGATTATCCGTGACACCGTGATGGAGGAGGTTGCTAGGAGTTCCGTACCCCAGGCAGAACCTGAGGCCGGGGAACCAGAGAAAGTCTATGCGAAGCCTAGGGAAGAGGAACCCACGGACAAAGTTACCGCCGCCAAAAAGAAGTTTAGGTATCAGATTCCGATCTTAACCATACCAGAGGTCGATGACACACTTAGCAAATTGCTAGGACCATGGTGTCGGTGTCATTTCATACCATGCTGCAGGCCAGCCCTAGGTTGCTTAAAGGGCTTAGACAACTGTTGACTCGGCGACGAGTAGAGATAGATGAGGACCCCGAAGCGCCTGAAGAGGAAAGGGAGGAGGAGGCTCCGCAAGTCGCTAACCTGCAGAGGAGTCGAGGGGACTTGGAGGATCTCGAGAAAGCCTTTGCAGGCATCCGTTTGAGCTAGCCCGACCGAGAGGGCGGCGAGGTCATGAGGGCACCACCCGGGACAAAGCTTAGCTTTCATGCACTGCCCGTAGGGAAGCTAAAAGTCCAGATCGGGACTCATCATACCGACGCATTAGTAGACGGGGGAGCAGAAATCACTCTCATAAGGAGAGATTTTGCAACAAACACGGGTTGTACGGTAAACAAGGAAGTAACAGGGAGCATCCGGGGAGCTGGCGGGGAAATCCCGTTCGCTGGGTACGTCACGAAATGTGTAGTAAAGGCAGGAGTCTGGGAGTCGATCTGGTCATTTCAGCGGATGACCGTAATGAAGGAAATGGACCACGACATAATCCTCGGGAGACCGTGGTACGCAAACGTAGAAATGATAGGCATGCACTTGCACGACGGCTCGTACATGGTAGACATAGAGGACCCAGTGACCGGTCGGGGAGAGCTCCTCCGACTGCTTGGAACGGGAGGAGACCCCCCGAAGGAAAAATTGGCAACCTGGTCACCATCGTTCAAAGATGGCACACGAAAAGGGGCCTTTGCTCGAATGGAGGGCATGAGAGAGAGGTTAGAGATCATGATCGAGGAGGCCTTCAATAAGAAGGAATGGATCAAGATGGGCCTGCCTCAGAAGAAGAGGAGGCAGGAGGACGAAGTCCTAGGTGTTATGGTAGCAGGAAAGGAGTCAGAAGTCGAACTTGGTGCCAGCCTGCCCAAGCGGAAAGAAGTACGCATGGACGTGCCAGAAGTCGCGCTCGAGATCCCCGATTTGTTGCAGCTCATCAAGGCCCTCAGATACCACAAGGTAGTAGTGGACTCGGCGGCCCTGGCCAAATTCGAAGGAGAGGTGCAAAAAGGATATTGTCTGAATGGGAAATTAGTTAGTATTCAACCACGAGTCGTAGAAGCAACGAGGGCAATTCCGACCGTTCATTTTTTAGGAGAAAGATCCCGGAAGGAAGTGTACGAAAGTACAAGCCGGTAGGGAAGAAAGCAAAACTGGTCTCGATCCTGCTAGAGACATCAAAGGAAAAGGCTATGGAGAAGGAGGAGGAGGTCCTCCGAGTGATCCAAGAGAGAAGAGCGACGGAAGGGCATCAGATACCAGATGAGGTAGCTGACACAATGAAGATAGGGGTAGAAGGATTCCTAACGGAGGAGGAAGATCGCTTGATCAAAAGGACCTGGCAAGAGTTTCACCTGGCATTTGCTTTTAGCGATCATCAAAAGGGGCGGCTACATGCGAAGCTGATCCCTCCGGTCAGAATCCACACAGTAGAGCATGAGTGCTGGAACGACAAGGGTCCGTCCTATGAGTTAAGGATAGCAGGGGAAGTGACAGACCTCCTCCGAGCGAAGATTGACTCCTTCATCGCAGAACCTACAGCGTCGCCATACGCAAACCGGTGGTTCGTCTTTCGGAAGCCCAACAAGACACTAAGGTGGATTCAGGATCTGCAAAAGTTGAATGCGGTAACCATCCGGGATGCTGGCTCGCTACCTCAGGCCGATTTATTAGCAGAATCGCACGCCGGCCGGAGCATTTACTCCTTGATAGATCTGTACTCAGGGGATGACCAGCTTCCATTGGATGTTCGGGACAGGCCGTACACCGCTATGCACACCCCCGTAGGCCAGTTACAGATGCAAGTGACCCCTATGGGCTTCACAAACACGGTGGCCGAAGCGCAACACAGAATGCTCGTTGTAGCCGGGGACATGTTCCCAGAGAAGTGTGAGCCCTACATCGATGACAATCCGATCAAAGGCGCGCAGGAGAAGGACGAGACGGAAGTCCAGCCAGGAATCCGAAGGTTTGTGTGGGACCACCTACAGGACATCAAGGACTAACTCCGCCGATTCCTTGTATACAATATCACGGCTAGTGGACCAAAGAGTATTCTAGCAGTACCGAAAGTAACCATATTGGGATTTCGTTGTGGCGCGTACGGTAGGAAGCCGGATCCGGCGAAGACGGACAAGATATCGCAATGACCAACACCCCTGCGCACGACAACGGAGGTAAGAGCGTTCCTGGGCGTGGTCGAATTTTGGAGGATCTTCATTAAGAATTTTGCCAAGATTGTCGAACCTATCCGGGCCATGATCAGAGAAGAGGGAACCATGGATTGGACGGAGGAGCGAGAAGGAGCCGTTCAAACCCTTAAGGACATATTGACATCTGAGTAAGTCGCCTTGTCAGCGCCTTGTTTTAATGACGAAGTGGGACGACCATTCATCCTAGAAACGGATGGAGGACCCTTGGCCGTAGGAGGTGTGCTGATTCAACGGGATGAGGAAGGGAGAGAGAGACCGATTAGGTTCGAAAGTAGAACCCTGAACTCCGCAGAACGGCGGTACTCGCAGTTCAAAAAGAAGGTCTTAGCCATCTTACATTGCCTCAAGACCTTCCAGGCCTACCTATTTGGGAGGCGATTCATCTTAAGGATCGACCCGACGAATGTCGCAGGGGTCTTAAAGAACTACAGGCCTATAGATCCGACGGTGGGAAGATGGGTAGGATTTATCTGGCAGTTCGATTACAAGATCGAACGGATTGTTGGAATTAGAAACAAGGCGGATGGGCTGAGTCGGGTCTGCATCACTCCCGAAGGGGTGGAGGATGCGGAGCCCATAGACGCATTCCTTGAATTCGAGGGAGGAACTCTTGCGGTGGACAACGAAATGATGGGCGAAGAATGCGCGTCGGGAGAACTGTTGATCCGGACTTTGGAGAAGGGGGCACCTGCCGTAGTAGCAGAACTTAGGGAAGGACCCGTCACCACTCGAGGTCGTAAAGAGGAGAGAGATTCATGGGGAGCAATAGCAGGACCGAAGGAGGAGCTAATAGCAATGCCAGTTGAGGGAGGCCGGGAAGCCGTGATGAGCTTAGTGGAATCTTGGGAAAAGAAAGAGTTGCAATGGACGGTAAACCAGATGCAGGAGAGAAAGGATGAGGACCACGAAGGGAAGGAGTTTTTTTATGCCCAGATATACGAAGGGATCTTTCGGGAGATCGAGTTGTTGCTGGTAGGAAACAAGCAACCCACAGAAGTCAGCACTAGAGCAAGGGAGGAGGCCGAGAGGTACGTCCTAAGGGGCGGCCATCTGTTCCGAAGAGAAGAAGGTGCTATGCCTAGAAGAGTTGTGTGCGAAAGATATAGGCAGTTGGATGTTATCCAAGCAATGCACGACGGATTAGCAGGAGGACATCGGTCGTCCAAAGGAACTCTTGCAAAATTAGCGCCACTTTATTATTGGCCAGGCATGGCAAGCATGGTCGCCATATACTGCCAGACATGCCTTATCTGCCAAGAGCGAAGCTCGGCACGCGTCTTTGAGCCGCTTAGACTGACGCGGGTGCTAGGGCCGGGACATCTGGTCCACCTTGACCTTGCGGTCATGCCTGTATCAACAGATGGGTACAGGTATATTCTAGATGCGCGAGACAACTTGAGTGGGTTCGTGGAGGCGGTCACTCTCAAGAAAAAGAAATGGAGAAGTGTAGCGGACTGGATAGAAGACTTCTACTTAAGGCATCCTTTCGTCAGGAGATTCATAGCGGACAATGGGACGGAATTTGTGAACCAAGAAGTATTGGGAATGCTTAAGAGACTCTGCGTACCGATCAAACTCATCGAGCCGTATCACCCAGAGGCCAACGCACCTGTGGAAAGAGGGCACCGAACCTTAAAGAACACGATTGCAAAGCTCGCAGCGGATCATCTGGGAAGCTGGCCGAGGTATCTCAAGCAAGCTGTCTTCTCAGAGAACGTGATACCTAAGAGGACAACGGGATGTATCCTAGCGGAACTTTGGTACGAGAGGGAGATCGACTTTCCCGTTGAGGCCTTGATACCTACTTGGAACAAGCTACATGATGATCCGCGAATCACCACGGAAGAGTCAATTGAGGCAAGATGTCAACAAGTCCTTAAGAACGAAGAAGTCATGAAAGACATCGCCAACCGTGTACTAGACAGCAGAATGAGGGACAAAGCAAGGTGGGACCAGGTTAAGAATGTCCGACAGGAGCCACTTCAGGTGGGGGAGACAGTATTGCCAAGGAACTCGGCACTGGAAAGTACTTGGTCCGGACAGTTAGGGAGGAGGTTCAAAGGCCCCTACCGGGTCGCCAAGCGGGTGGGGTTGAACACCTTCGAACTAGAAGATTTGGATGGAAACCCCGGGGCAACGATTGGTCAGGTTTCTAAGTCGAGACCCAGTGGAATAATGGCTTCAGGAGGCCGAACAGAGGGGCAACAGGTTAAGGACTGACAACGGCCATGACCACGTTATGGTTCGATCACTGACTGCGCTCGTGGGACTGTCATTTTTTTCTGGGGCTGGGACAATGGGTTGGACTGACTGAGGTTGGAAGGCAGGATGACTTGGGAATTTGCGGTAACGGGCTTGTGCGACGACGGGAAGGATTGTTGGGGCATTGTATCATAGTTTTTGACGGGGAAATAATGAGACATTCACAAACGGCGCATTTGCATAAGGGAGGGAAATGTATAAAAGGGGCATGATGCGAAGGATACTGGGAGCATTCTGGGGAAAGGGGAGCTGCCTACCGGACTGGGGGAACGGGTGTATGAGGGGCATTGCGGGTGTTGTTTTGTTATACAGGACTTAGAAGAAAAACGAGAAAAAGCGAAAATGGATTTCGGCAACAAGAACGACAGCGGGGGAATCAACAGGCCTACCGGAGGGGAACAAGCAAGACCAAGCCAAGGGAGGAGGACAGCGAAGAGAAAGTTGTACATAGGGCTCATGGGTCGGCCGGTGGTAGGCAGGGGTGGAAAAAAGTGCGTACGAAGAAGACCCTCGCCCCTCCGCAAGGGAGAAGGTATAGAAATCTCATCTGACAGTGAGGGCGAGAAGGAAAAGGCAAATGTGGAAAAAGGGGGCAATGCAGATATGGGAGATAAGGCTCAGGCCTCTGACGAGGAAGGAGCCAACAGGGGCCAACGACGTGAGACTTGGCATAGGGAAAGCGAGGGGGGACAGGACATGCACGACGAGCGTGAGGATGGGGAGGAGAGAAGAGAAAGCCCGCTTGAAGGACGAAGCGGCCACAGTAGTTGTGAGGGGTATGGGACAAGGACAAAGATTCCTTATACCTACGATCCAAAGAACCTAACGGGAGGGTATACCCCCATACAGACGGAAGACGAGGAAGACGTGGAGGAGGATGTACAAGAGATAATAGAAATCAGCAGCGGGGATGAAAGGGATGAGATCTCGAGACCTAGGGAAGAGAGGCGAGCTTCAATGCACCAGCCGCACGATGAGGCCTTTAGATGGGAGGATGAGTTTGGGCCAACGCCCAGTCATTGGTTTCATCAATGGACCAATGTGATCAGGCACGAGTGAATCATCAAGGCCCGAGAACTCGCAAAGGCGGGGATGGAAGCCACGCCTTTGGACTTTTTCAGTGAGGCGGAACTACAGGAAATTGCGAAGAAGAGGAGAGAAATTGAGACCTTCGGCCTGGGGGTTAGAAAGCCTGCCAAGGAACATGGTGGACAAGGAATCGAGCAAGCTGAGGCACAAGGCAGCAATAGGAACTAGATGTTGATTTAGCATTGAGCAGGATTCTTGCTTTTCTATTTGCAAAGACATGGGAACGACAAGAACGTGTATAGTATGAGTAAGCTTGCTAAGGATGAAGTGATAAGAGGGTCAGCTAAGACTGTGCCACGATAAGTACAAGATAGCATTTTGAGGCTACTTTCTGGATGAGCTACCTTTGAAAGTGGGTACATAAGACAAGGACATGGGGCATGGGATGAGAACGGTTGGGAAGGGTGTATTATGGATTTTGGATGGAATGAGGGTGTTGTGCTTTGAGAAGAGAAACCTTGAGTACAGATTGACGAGCGAACCATGGCATTGAATGTTGGTCGAGCACAAGAGAGGTTAGGGAACCTATGGGTTAAGGGGCGTGAAAAACACTCCTTCCCTAGGAGCCTAATCCAACTGAGTCAAGAATGAGTCTGAGAATAGCCGAGATCTGAGTCATTGGAACAAGTGAAAATAAGAGGGGGCGCCCCTGTCTCTTGCTATGGTTGAACGGCCTGGTGGGCTAGTGCTGCTTGAGGTCACAAGTCCCAACTCGAGTACTAGATGCTAAGTCAGATGTATGCATGCATAATACATTGCCTTGAGGATGGATGAAGGGAACAACACGCTAAAAACAGAGATGAGATGGCCACCTTCTAACCTCCAAGACAGAAATGGGATCCGTGACCTCGAGGCCCACCCCCTCGGGAACTAACATTGAGAATGGAAAGGAATGGCCCTAACCAGGCTGTTCGACTTGAGAATGGAAAGGAATGACCCTAACCAGGCTATTCGACTTGAGAATGGAAAGGAATGACCCTAATCAGGCTGTTCGACTTGAGAATGGAAAGGAATGACCCTAACCAGGTTGTTCGACTTGAGAATGGCAAAGAACCACCCTAACCAGGTTGTTCGGGAATGGCCCCTGACAAGGGTCATTCCTTTTGAAATAGGCACTGGGGTCCCCTGCATAATTGATTGAGAAAGGTTCATTGAGAAAGGATGATTGAGAATGAGCTGGAATGAGCAATAAGAGATGGAAAAGGCCGGTGGGTCGGTCCTTGAAATAACCAATGGAATGGATGAAAGAGATGGGAGAGGCCGGTGGGTCGGTCATTGAAATAGCCAATGGGATGGATGGAAGAGATGGAAACTGCTGGTGGGTCGGTCATTAAGATAGCCATGAGAATGAACGAATGAATATGAGAAGGGTAGGATAAAGAAGGCTGCGCCTTAAGACAAGAGAAGCATGGACCGGAGGGACGGTCATAAGGAATGGACATTGGGGAATGTGAAAGATGAGGATTGAAGGTGGGCCGACGGGTCGGCCCTTGTGAGAATGGCTATTAAGAAAGCTGCCGCCAGAGCGGCCACAAGGGGTGACCTTGATTGATGAGAGGCTGTCAGACCAGCCATGAGAATTAGCCTTGGAAATAGCATGGGATGGAGTGTTTGAGAATTGGATATTGCATTGCATAGTCAGGGGACCCTAGGCAACTTGATGTAAGGTCGTCGGGCCGACCATGGAAATAGCAAGAGATTGAGTTTTTCTTTTCTACTAATCTCCGGTCTCAACATAAGGGGGATAGCGGTGCATGCATCGCAACTCCAAGACCTCTACCGTCAAGGGCAAGTCTCAACGCGACCTGCTCCTCATACGAAGGAATAAGGGTTGAAGGACCAAAGCACCTCTTTCTTTGGTTGATGCTGGCCGTCCGGAACTAACCCCGACAACAAGCTCTAGTCGGGGAGTTCAAACTCCGCCTCATGTTGAGAACTGAAACGTCAAGGGCGTGGAGCCAAACGGGCGAGAGAGCCATTTTTTTTCCTAAGTCTCATTTTTTCTCCCTAACCACACGCCATGTCGTAGAGGGGCGGCACGGCCGTTTGGAATGCACCACGGCAGCTCGCGTTAAGTTGAGCAGCACTGTCCAGAGGGAGGAGTCGGGCGTGGTACCGGGTGGAAGCCGCAACCACCACAGGGCGAGTGACATCGCCCTGCCGGATCATTACAACCGTTCCGGGACTAACCGCAAGGTCTTCGTAACTGCATTCGCAAACTAATTGAGAGTCCCAACTCTCTTGAAAGGAAGAGGCCGGATCCAAGAAAACACCACTCGGGAGGAACGATTCGCGAGAAGGCCCTTACGGCAAAACGGGGTCCTGGGAGGTTTGGACTAGACCTACCTACCTGATGTGGGGTGGTACCTCAGTGATGACGCCCGTCTCGTAAGCGGCAAAAGGTCGGACCGGTGTAGGGCATGAGGTGAGTTATCAGCAGGGGGAGGACTGATCACCCTTCCGTTTTGGGGCTGATGGGCCGGTGTACGGCCAAACCCCGGTAGACTTTCGAGCCTTAGTCGACCCCACTGCGGGTCCCAGTTGGCTCGGCCCGCCCACACTCATGCTCAGGGCGCGGGCCATTCGTCCCAGGGTCACCCCCACCTAGTGCTTTGAGATGGATGAGGGTGGGCCATTGCGCGAAAGAGCTTTGACATTGGGGATGTAGCTCAACCCTCACGCCGGGTGGTAGTCTCGCTGGTTGTTCCGTAACGCTGATTTTTTTGATTCTTTGTTGTGTTCTCATGCAATTGCTCCTTCCAATGCGCAGGCAGTCCAAGGATTCTTTGAGTGTTTCTCTTCTCTTGTGCATAGGCTAAGCGTCATACTTAGGCCACGCACCATTTTCCTAAGCATTGTGGCTATATGGCGTCATCTGGGGGCGGCGGAGCCGTCCACTCCCTCGCCTCTACGCATCCATCGGGTCTCACAATTTGCTTTCTTCCTTATTGAAGTAGGCCCCTTAGTCTTTTCGGGGTCCTCGTGTGCATGCACACACAACATCACATTTTCCTTGGTACGATTGCACTCTCATTTACACTCCAACTCTTCAAGCGCAAAAGTCATTTTCATGGGTTGGCTCTATGTCAAGGGTCTCATAACCCCTTTGTCCCTCTTCCCTTTCCCTCTTGGTGCTCGGTTCCTCTTGCCCCTATCCCGCTCAAGGCATTTCTAGCCATCACTTACCTGCACAATCCCACACAAGCAAGAAGATCCATACAATCCCCCGTTGGGGGTCAACACATAGGCCTTCCCACATGCCTATCTTTTCAAATTCTTTGGCTTCTCTTTGTTCCCTCTTGTTGCTCAATCAACCCATTCTCTTCTCATAGTCATGCAGTCGGGGAAATGCTTGAGTCAAACTGACCTCACTTTCAACTTATGTTCTCTTCCGGATTCCGCCTTCTCCCACTTTTTTAAACGTCCTTTCTCTTTTGCCTCCTTGGTGGCACAAGGGACCGGCTATCCTCCCCTTGCCCTCTTTCTCCACCAAGTGAAGTCTGATTTCGTTTACCGTCCGTACCCTGACAATGTTTCCAAGTGAGGGGAGAAGGGTTAGTCATATGCCAAGTGTGGGAACGGGAGAGAGAAAGAGAGATGGCAAGGTAATAAAGGGGGGACGAAAGAGGGGTCTAGAGGAGGAAGGAGGGAAAGGGGGAGAGGGAGAAGGAGAGAGAGGGGGGGAGACGAGGAGAGAGAGGGAGAGAGAGAGAGAGAAAAAAAAAAAGAGAGAGAGAGAGAGAGAGAAAAAAAAACAAAACAAGAAGAACTCCTAATCAAATCAGCTCCCCGTAGCAGCAACCAAACGTCGATCACCCGTCCCATAGTGAGAGATTGAATAAGTATATCTTGGAATAACATGACAATGAGAGGCTAGACCAATGGAAAACACATACTCATAGGGAAGGACATCATCTAAACAAGATACGGAACATCACATCACACATGAACTTTGACAATGAGGGGCTAGACTAGTGGAGGGCACATGCACAAAGAGAAACGACTACTAAGTAAAGTCCTGAACATCACATCCAACATGAACTTGACAATGAGAGGCTAGACTAGTGGAAAGCACATGCACAAGGAGAAGAGATTAACTATGTAAAGATCCGGAACATCACATCCAACTTGAACTTGATAAGGAGGGGCTAGACTAGAGGAAGCACATGCACAAAGAGAAGAGATCAACTAAGTAAAGATCCGGAACATCACATCAAACATGAACTTGACAATGAGAGATTAGACTAGTGGAAAGCACATGCACAAAGAGAAGAGACTAAGTAAGTAAGGATTCGGAACATCACATCGAACATTAACTTGAGAATGAGAGACTCGACTAGTGGAAAGCACATGCACAAAGAGAAGATACTAAGTAAAGATCCCGAACATCATATCAAACATGAACTCGACAATGAGAGACTGGACTGGTGGAAGCACATGCACAAGGGGAAGCGATCCACTAGGTAAAGATCCGGAACATCACATCAAATATGAACTTGACAATGAGAGACTAGACTAGTGAAAGCACATGCACAAAGACAAGAGATCAACAAAGTAAAGGTCCGGAACATCACATCAATCATGAACTTGACAAGGTAAGGCTTAGACTAGTGGAAGCACATGCACGAAGAGAAGAGATCAACTAAGTAAAGGTCCGGAACATCACATCAAACATGAACTTTGACAATAAGAGACTACACTAGTGAAAAACACATGCACAAAGAGAAGAGAATAACTAAGTAAAGATCCGGAACATAACATGAACTTCACAATGAGAGACTAGACTAGTGGAAGAAGGAGGGAGTGCGGATGAAGAAGAGGAAGAAGAAGGACGAGAGGAAGAAGGAGAAGAAGAGGAAGAAAAAGTAGAAGAAAAAGGAAAAGGAAAAGAAGAAGAAGAAGAAGAATAAGAAGAGGAAGAAGAATAAGAAGAAGATGAAGGTGAAGAAGTTTTTTCCTTCTTCTCACCTTGTTGACTCCTTGATGTTGGTGTCCTCTTGATGAAGCTTCCACTCCTTGTACAATCCCCTCTTGGCTATGACTTCCTTCTTCT